TTTTTTTTTTTTTGTTTTTTTTTAAGAATTTCACAAACTAGAACTTAGGTTTCTTATTCATTTTATATGATATTGTAAGATTTATTTACTGTTAATTATTGGCACGAGGAAATTGTAAACTTACTTATTTATAAAACTAGATAGTGTATAGAAATACGAATTGGAATGAGCCTAAACGAGAGGACTTTCTATCACAGAAGGTCACCGAGCAATTTCCAGAAGTGGATTATCGGTGATTGTTATGCGAGGAGACCAGTTACATGCAACTTGTGTTGCAACTGTTTCTAAATTTGTTTTAATTTATTTTAAATTATCTTTTTAAGAAACTCGGTTTCTGAAATTACTGCGGTTAACTTTTGAAGCCATTGTATGCCAGTTACACACTAATCTAAGAGCGAGATCTTTCGAAGAATTCTTACAGTCATTTACATTAGTTAACGGCAGCGAGATAAGATTTAATGATTCTTTTATTTTGTTGACTAATTATAAACATGATTATAAAAACGTTTTTAGTTCATAATATTGATTGAATATTACAAAACTATGACTTGTTCTTTTATAGGCACAGACTTTCATTCTTGTTGCGGGAAAGGAAGGGAAGATGGAAGCTCAATAAAATATCTCAGGAATTAATATTATGTATAAAAACTATTAATTATAATTAAAATAATCAACATACCCATAAAATAGCTCAGAAATTAAAAATCAGGTTTGCATACTGTAAGCAAGGAAATTGTTTAGCATTCCATCCTCTCTATAATAGGCAACAATTAGCACAAGATCTTGATCTTCTGACCTATACATCCCTTCTCATAGATCTGCCTCATTCCAAAACTCCTTTTTAGCCAGCTCTGTCAACTTCTGGAATTCCTTATCTTTCAAAATTCGACATGCCCCCTGCGTATCCATATTAAAAAATCTCCTATTCCAATTCCATAAACACTCAGATGCCTGCTAACTATTGACATTATATATGTATTGCATGGCAATCACATAATCATACGATAATACTGTTCTTTATTAGGGATAAAACATTTACTTCCTCCTTTCGACGTCACTCAATACATCTATTTTTTTAGTCAATTATCACTAACATTATTTTTTATATACAATTAAACGCCAACACGTATCTTCCATAACTGATCATAACGCTCTTTTTATGATGTATTTACATTTTACCCAGCATTTATATAATCAGGTTTATATCGACAGATGCAACTTTCACTTTTCTAAATAAAACTTTTTTTTATGAAAAGAACCTATTTTATTTTGTCTCTTTTTGGTTCTTTAGTGTATATTTATGCTGTTCTATTTTCTATTTTTTTAAATGTTTTGTTCATAATTTTAAGTGTTTAGTACATAATTTCATCTGTTTTGTATATAGCTTATTCACTTAAGGTTTTCTTTACTTTTTGTTTATTTTATCAATATTATTTATTATTTCAAACTTTTAGGACAGTAGCAGTCGTTTCTTTTTGTGTAATTTTGTTATTCTCAAGAGAATTTGTCCGAGAATAAAGTTGTTGTTTTTTCTATCTTTCTAACTAATTCAGAATTGTATCTTAACGCCGAGTTAGAGAGGCGAAATGAAAAAAAAGAGTATCAAAAATCAAATGATAACGAGGTTAGTTGAACATATGGATTAAAATATTTCAGATACTAAAAATTTGACCTGTATACTGTAAGCGAGGAAAATGTTCGGCATTTCATCCTCTTTATAATGAGCTATTATTTATAATTTATATTTCATATTATTAATCTCGCTTTGTTGATGATTTCACTTATATCGTGTGTTCTAAAGCACATTTTATAATTTTTATGTGGTTTTTAACATTCTAGGAGTATTAACCATCCGTTGGAATCCTGCAGAACGTTCCTAAATTCACCATAAATCGATAGTGGATTGAGGAAATGAAAGTGTTGACCTTCCCATTTTACCGAAACATTGATCACTCGTTTAGTAAAATGAGCTATTTTTTATTTATTTTTTTTATTTTGACTATTTAATTAAACTATATTGTTGTTTATGTATCTCTGAGGCTCCTTAGCCCACATTTTTGTATTTCTGTCTTAAAGGGACTCGTCCCAGAATAAATAAAGCACTATTATTATTATTATTTCCATTTTTTATTCTCGCTTTGCGGGGGAAGTTTCTGAGGTGGGAGACCAGAAGTCCAGCCACCTTGATATTAATATCTGTTATGTTTTTAGGCGTATAAAAAGTTTCTAACAATACGTGCTGTCTCTATGAGAACTGAGTGTTGAGTCTCTTGCAACACTTCAAGAGGTAATTTTAATCCCATTGTGCCTACCACTGTTTACTTTGGTGGTGACGTTCACCAAATGATATAATTCCTTCAACTTTTCTGTATCATATCTATCAGAAGGATATCTGGTTTATTGTGACGCACAGTATGGTCAGTTATAATCGATTCATCCCAGTAGAACTTGATTTGGAGGAGTTTATTTGGGTGGTACTTATAATATGGAGTTTTGTCATCTAATAAGTTGAGCTTCACCACCAGACCCTGATGACAAATTCTAGTCACATTGAATAAATAAAGCATTATTATTATTATTTTGATCAGTTCAGGTACCGTAAATTCATTGAAATTTTAAAATGTAATCCTTAAATAAATAACAAAAAAAATATTGTGTAAAACGACATTCCCATGCACAAGACAAGTGTCAGAAGAGAAGGCCGAGGTCCGAATTCTACAAATGACCCCTAACGAGGTTTTCGGTTAATATTCAGCAGGGCTACCCCCACCCCGACCCTTTCCGCGAAATGGGATTTTAATTAAAGCTCCCCCCCCCTTTAGAAGGAAGATAGTATAATGCGGAAAGGAAGGAGTGCAATAAATCAGAGAAGTAGGAAAAATACAGCCACAGAAGACCAATAGCAACATCCACAGCTATGTAATCTATAGTCACTAACCCTACCGATTAGTGTTGCCCAAATGCGAGACCGAGACGAGTCTTGGTCTTGCAAACTCAGTCTTGGTCTAGGTCTTGGTCTTGCGCGAGAGTCTTGCAAGAGTCATGCAGCTACTTATTAGCTTATTACTATAGAAATATTACTGTATTTTTTTAGACACCAGAAACCTAACTGAGCCCGAATGAAAAATTAGAGGAGTTAAATGCAAAAGTATATTCGTTATACCAATTATCAACATATAGTAACTAAGATTGTTAAACATTAGTAACTATTTTGCCTTAATTTTTATTTTAAAAATCTCCTTTTTTACCAGTCCTGGTCTTGGTCTTGCAACAGTTAGGTGGACTTTGTCTTGGTCTTGCACATTGCAAGACCAAGACCGATTTTGGGCAATACTACTACTGATATCCACAGTTTCAGTGAAATTTCCTTATAGAAGCAACAAAAAAAAAAATCAAACATAAAATTTTATGACATGCCTGCATAAAGGCATCCATTTCTACTTGTAAGCCTTTCTACTTTTTGATTAAATGAGCTATTGTTTTAATTTAGATATTTTGAACTCTGTCCGAGAGCAGTAGTTTTGCCCAGAATCGGTCTTGGTCTTGCACTTTACAAGACCAACACCGCCTATCTGTTGCAAGAATAAGATCAAAACTGGTAAAAAAAAATGATTTTTTGAATAAAACTTGAAATGGTTACTTATACTTTTACAATTTTATATACTGTATGTAAAGAATTGGTATAACCAATATACTTTGGCATTTAACTCTTCTAAGTTTTCATTCTGACTTAGGTTTCTCATATCTAAAAAATGACAATAATATCTCTCTAGTAGTAGGCTATCCGGAGTCTTGCTTTGCCTTCCGCGTGTGGAGGTAAAAGCCTGGCTCGGAGATTCTTGGGCAAATGTATATATTGTATATAGTTATGATTGTGTTTAGAAGTTTTTATTTTATTTTATTTTATTTATTTTTTTATTTTTTTTGTTTATTTTTTATTTATTTACCTTCTTCATCAGTATTATTTATTTACTTCTTATATTTATATTTATTTCTTTATTATTTGTATATATTGTATGAATGAGAACTTTTAGCCCTAATGCTTATAGCCCTCCAGCAGTGGCTGATTGAAAAAAAAAAAAAAAAAAAAAAAAAAAAAGTAGTAGGCTAATAGGTGACTGCAAGACTGTTACGAGAGTCTTGCGCAAGACCAAGACTGAGTTTACAAGACCAATAGTCGTCTCGCATTTGGGTAACACTAGAGAGCAGTAGATTATAATATTGTAGTGAAATTAATTAAAGACAGTAGTCACAGAGAAAGAATAAACATTTTTTTTTCAATTTTATTTTATGTCTAAGTTTTAGGACTTTATAAATCCTGAAGAAAGACAAGATAACAACCAAACAGAGCATATCGACAGCCGCACTGCAAAAACTTGTAAGAACAAAAACTAAAAATTTTCAGGAGACGAAAAAAACTGCATAATTTTTGTTCCATGAGCATTATATTTTCGGCTTATTTTTTTTTCAGGTCTATGGCATAAGTGTAATTCTCTGTGTAACATTTCTGATCGTATTTCTGCCAAATAATCATTTAGAGCTATTACGTTTAAATTATAGCTTTTTGTTCATTTTTAAAAAAAGGTATTAGTTAGGTATCAAATTCATTGTGGTAACCCCAGGTTTAAACAAAGAAATAGATTGTTTTTGTTCGCAAAAATTTTCAAATTCTGTATTATAACTTTACCAACAACTCTATTATAGTGATTGATCATTATTGTATCACGTGACCAACAAAATATTTCTAATCCTAATGAAGAAAATTCAAACAATATATATATATTATTTAATATTAAATATATAGCGATACTTCTCTTTACTTACGGATACTCTGTATATATATATATATATATATATATATATATATATATATATATATATTTGTAATTAAATTGACAAAAGCTCCGAAAATATTTCTTCAAGTTCAATAGCCGAGAGCGCTAATAAACATTGTTTTGTCAGAGACAATTATAACACTCTATGTACACCTTACACAAGCCATGTGCAACACAATTAGCCAAGCCGTTCAACTCTCAAGGACACCGCCTAGGATATTGTCCGGGAGTATATCATGGCAGTCACAGGGTATAATTATATCTGGATCCACATTTATCACTTTCAAAAAACAAAAATTATAATTATTATTTAAAAAATAATTATATTTGGTCTATAGAGGAAAGTAAACTCTAATAAATGTTAGTGTTGCCCAAAATCGGTCTTGCTCCTGCAAGACTAAGAACAAGATCGCATAACAGTTGCAAGACCAAGATGAACAGAGGTAAAAAAAAACATTTTTTGAACAAAAATTAATGCAAAATATTCGTATAATAATAAAATATATTAGTATACAAAATGGCAATTTTAGTTATCATATGTAAAGAATTTATAGGTTATATCAATATTGATAGGTTATATCAAGATATAACCAATATACTTTTGCATTCAACTCTTCTAATTTTTCATTCGGGTTTAGTTAGGTTTCTCTTATCCACTAACAAATCCATGATTTAATTTTAGGGGTATATATTAGGACAATTACTTCGGAAGAAAGAAAGAAACTAACTACCTATATGAAATGATGTTTAGGTGATTCTTTAAGTCCTATTAAATGTATTAATTACGAACAATAATAATTTTTTTCATAAAACAGGGTTATATTTTATCATTTTGGGGGAGGAGCTTCAGCCCGAAAGCCCCCTCCCTCTTCGTAGATTCACCTGTGCTCCTATCTAAACAATTACGCTAATATCTCTATAGTAATAAGGCAATAGGTAACTGCAAGACTGTTGCGAGACTCTTGCGCAAGACCAAGACTGAGTTCACAAGACCAAAACTCGTCTTGGTCTCGCATTTGGGTAACACTAGAGAGCAGTAGATTATAATATTGTAGTGAAATTAATTAAAGACAGTAGTCACAGAGGAAGAATAAACATTTTTTTTTCAATTTTATTTTATGTCTAAGTTTCAGGACTTTATAAATCCTAGGACTAAACCAAAAAGTCTGAAAAAAACCTATTCTGAATTTCATTGTATTAATTAATATATTAGTAAAGATTTTATTTGATGATAAAATAAATCAGTTTTTATCTTCTACGAAAAAATGTTTTGATATTTTTCTGGCCCTTAATTTTCAATTTTTTGTTCTTTAATTTCCTCGGAGGTGGAGGATAAATCCTGGTTTGGTATGTGTGTAAGCTATGTAAATAGTGTATATCAAACATAGGCAAGATTTATTTTAAATATTATTTTTAAATACAATGCATTTTATTTTTTTAAAATACAGTGTATTTTAATAATAAAACATTTAAAATGTTTTTAGAAAATCTATTTCAAATTCAAAAAAATTAATTTATTTTAATTACAATAAAACGAAATACAAATAAAAAATACTTCCTGATGGACGATCATCATATTATATAGGGGACCTACTCTATTCAGTAATTTATTTTGTGAATTTAAAATACAAAATTTAATATATTTTTTGTATTTTAGTATCATGGAAATAAAACACAATTTTTTTATTTTTTTTATTTAAAAAAGAAAATACAGTCACAAAAACAATTTATTTTATATTTTACTTTTTAAAATATGAAATACAAAACATTAATTTTATTTTGTATTTTTGAATAAGAATGACATGGGGCCCGCTTGTAAAAATGAAACATAAGATATTTAACTATCGACTCAAACTACTTTACTCGCTTTTTGCTAAATCTTCAAAACTAAAACTGAGACAGAAACTGAATGAATACATACACATATTTACTTAAGCCCATATGGACATACTCATCACAAATATACGGTACCGTTAAAAAAAAATCAAACGTTTCAATCAAAACTATAACGACTCATAACTAAAGTACTTTGGTACGTGACTAACAAAACTTTACATACTGACCTCCACCATCCAACAGCTGACATACAACGATCCTTTATCAAAGATATTACACTAATTTAAACGGACATAGTAATAGACTAATAAGAGACAGGAGATTAAATAAATGTTCAACTAACTCTAAACAAACCTGTTAGTAGGAAGGTATGGAATACACCGATCTCAAGAGCAATATAGAAACAATGATAGGCATTTTATTTTGGGAACTCTGTTCCTACAGTTGTAAATAGAGGACATTGTTCTACAATATAGAAAAAACTAGGACCTTTAAATCAACAAGGAAGTTTATTATTTACATTTAAAGCCCAACTTGTCCATTATTGGGTCCTCTGTCCATAACTGTGTCTATTTCTGGTACGTTTACGATAATTTTTTTTAATACATAATATAGACTTGTTCCTCAACTAACGAACATTCATAAATCCTACCAACATTGCAGTTAATTTTTTTTCTATTTTTTTTACAACGATCTTATTAATATTGATCTGTCCTATATTCTTCTACAGCGATTGATTTCATCAAGCAGGTTCTCTATAGGATTCAGATAGGTGAATAGTGAAATGAAATGAAAATAGATTTTTATTATATTGGGACTGTTTTCCCTTTAGGACAAATTATAGATACAGAGAAAACAAAATGCCTGTGTGGCCATAAAATTAAATTAAATATTTACAATTCTCATTAAAATTAAATTATTGGAAGAAAATTAGAACAAAAACACTACATATGTACAGATACATATAATAAAAACATAGGAAAATAAAATAATATAAGAAAACAAAATAATTTCTTAAAAAGCTCTCTTATCTACTTTTCTTGATCAGTCGGGTTGGGAAAGAAAGTAGGTGCTTAAAAAGAAGAGATTTACATGAGGAAACTGCGCATGTCGGATATCGGGAGGGATGGTATTTCAGATGGAGACGGCTTGAATTATAAAGGATTTGTCAAACGCAGCAGTTCGGTGAGGAGGTGGGTAAAGGTCAGAAGTACGGAATCAACTAGGGCTGTGAAAAATTTAGGAAGGTCACAGTTCTGATGGCTTGGTATAGGAAGATAGCAAGGAAGTACAGATGGATGGATAGAGTCACTTAGTGTAATACTGAGTTATATGCGTATCTCTTGAGATTCCGAAGACAAAACGTATTGCACAGTCGAAGAAAATCGGAGAAGTTTTCAGGGGTCATTTCTTTTCTATTACTGGAATTATCAACCATAAAGTGTATATATTTGTATTCATTCCTACATTACTTGAAGGAGAAGATAATTCACAATAAAAAAACAACTATAATTTTACCCTTTGATAAAGAATCAATAAATAATTTTCTGAAAGATTAAGTTGAGATTATCACGAGCGTTAAACATTTGTCGCTCCCGAGAGAACGAACTAACGGAATCACAGAGCGTAATATCCGTTGAGGCCATGACCCCGCCCACAGCTTCACTACAATGATTGATCACTTCCATCACGTTCATTGTATTTTAGTACAATCACTCACATGTCATAACTAACACTTTATATATATATATATATATATATATATATATATATATATATATATACAAATAGAACTACTCCTCACAGATACACGGTATCGCTAAAAAGATCCACCTACAAAATAAAACTTCAAACCTTACAATCAAACTCATAACAAAAGCACCTTGGTACGTGACTAACAAAACTCTACATACTCACATATATAACGACCCTTTATCAACGATTTTACACTAATTTGAACGGACATAATTACAGATTAATAAGAATTATGGCCACAGGTTTAGTCTCCTCCTCAGAACATGAGGAGGAGACTAAAAAGGCGTTGGATGAGAGATCTCCTTCCTTGAACAACCTAAGTAATTGAAACAAGTCAGAGAAGAGGTACTGCTGAGTACTGTCTTTCCCCATGCATGACATGTTATTATTTCTGTAAATTGACATGTGCACATATTTGTTTATTTTTTTTAAATATTCCTTTTTTATATACAGTATATATTTTATATAAATGCAGATTAAAGAACCTAAAAACAAAAAAAAAACTATATGCTTTCACGATTTATTAAAGATTTTGATCTTTGATATTTTTATTTAACTATTTACTGTTTTTAAAACACATGCTATTCGTGTAGTAATCCCCTTATCTGTAATGACACCCTCTTTGAGTCTCGAAGTAATTTCCGATCGAGCCTATTGGTCGTAAGAGTAGACCCACTTAGCTACACCGTATCTGATTGGAGGACCGACAGCCGGCTACAGTTAACTGTTCGCCCATTGGTCAATGGACTCGGCTTCCTCCGCTCGCATGGGATACGACCATTTCAATACGGCGCAAGGTGCCATTACCTAATTCGCGTTGGCCAATCGCCTTTCGCGTTAATAACGCTCTCGAACGCTATTGGCCGGTGATCCGAGTCCTGATATCTAGGTAATGTTGAGGAAGTTGGAGTAGAACTTTGAGTTGAGTGTGGGCCAGCATGCAGTCGTTAAAGGCACATTCTTTGAAAGTAGTTGGGCCAATTCTAAACTCATTGTTTTTTTTTTAAGAACATCATTGGATTCCAACGGATAGGTAATCTCCTGGAAGGTTATAAAATGCATAAAAAATGTAAGAAAATATCTACGTACAGAATTGTTGAATTTCAAAACAGGAATAGAAAATAAATTGAATATAAATGTGTAGAATACATTTTTTTTTAAACATATTCATTGAGAAATATTGCAATCTGTCACAATTAAGGACATTTATAATAGCGTTCAGAGAGCACATTCACACTCTATTTACAATAAATAATACAGAAAAATAATAATATTAAAAGTAAATGTATACAAACTAATAACAACTTAAACACGCGCATACATTTACATATATTAACAGAATCCAATCACTCAGGACTCTGATCCAAGCCTTTCTTCCCACTCGTGGAAGGAAAGACAGGACTCTAGGAGATCCCAGCGCCTTTCACTCTCCTTGATTGAGCACTTGTGTAATAACTAGCGCATTAAAGTAAATGTTCACTTTAATTCCATCCAGCTTCCTTTTTCAGACAAATCCTCTAGCACAATCCCTATCTAGCTCCACCTTATAATCTTCCTCGAAGGTTGAATCGGCAGTGGTCCATCAATAAGCATATATTGGAGTTTTGGCAATGACCAGATTCTCGAACCATGTATTTTTGATCATAGAATACATTTAGAAATAACAACAAGTTATAAACAGGTTACATTCAGAGGATTCAATCGATGAAAAACGGAACGCGCTACATTTCATTGATGTTTCCATCTACGAGCGATGGATTTTGATGAATAAAATATCAAACGATAGAGAAAAGGATAGTACCCTACTGTATTATATATATTGTAGATTTTTAGAGTTTGGTCTATAGTGTATTTGATCCAAAGTTGGTATCGGCATGGAGGTCAGAGAAGGTAAAAAAAAAAACAGAAAATAAAGTTGATAAATAATTAACAGTTGCTAGCCAATTGAATATTTAATGGAAAAACAAAATTCTTCTGGTTAAATATTGACGAAGGTGCTTAAGTTACAAAAGGGGAGAGTGGTGGTTGGACCCGAGGGGGGGGGGCGCTGTGGTGGTAAATTAATAGCTACAGGAGGGTATGAATTTTTTAATAAAGCGGTGCACGCGAGGATAGCACGCCAGGCTCTTTGTTATTAGTTCCTCCATCGCATGTGTCCGATGGTCCTCTCGCTCCTCTTCTCTTCTGCGAGTCCGCCCGGGGGAGCATGGCACGCTGTGGGGTATGGTTCAAGCAGGTCTGGGTAGTATTACAAATGAAATATTCTAAAAATACAAAATTAAATACATTTTCGTTCTTTTGTTTTCAATAATGACGAAGACAACCAAAATACCAAGAAAAAAAAACTAAGGTGTACGCTTCAGACCACACGATTGAAGTATAAAGAGTTCATTATAAAGAGGATCAAATGCGGCACATTAACCTCGCCTACAGTATATAGTTCCGATTTCTAGTTTCTGAGATATTTTAATCAATATCTGCCATAAATCTCATTATAATTTAGCTTTCGACACTATTTTTTCTTTTTCGCCTCACTAACACGACGTCTCGTAAAGATACAATTTTGGATAATAGCCCATTAGATAGAGGATGAAATGCTAAACAATCTCTTGCTTACAGTATACAGGTTCGATTTCTAGTTTCTGAGATATTTTAATCCATATCCTCAACAAAACTCGTTATCATTTGATTTTATTTTTTCACTTGTTGCCTCTCTACCATGGTGTCGCGTTAAGACTCACTTTTGTGTTATAACTAATGGATTATTGTTCATCATTTCATCTTCTTTGTAATGACAAGGAGGATGAAATGATGAACATTTCCCTCGCTAACAACATGCCGATTTTTAGTTTTTAGACATTTTAATCCGAATGCAAAAACACGTTAATTAGCCGACTCTAGCCGACTTTACCCGAGCGTTATACATCGGAGATCTGACGGCTCAATCTAATTCATTCTCCATAAAATAAAATTCCAAACGCGCCTAAAGAAGTTTTAATTTAAAAAAGTTACCCCCTTTCCCTCAAAATTGGAGATATCATCTTACGATGTCTCTTCTCCGAAAAGTGGGCCAATTTCTTTGAAATTTGGTATCAACTCAACATTACCATCCAAACTTTCCGTTGAAGATAGCGGCCGAATAAAACTGTACCGCTATAGACAACATTGTCTAAATGGATGAAACTGAGCTAAAGTTTTCTTTACGAATAGCTTTAAATTTATTTACATAATATACTTTTTCGAAAAGAAGCTAAGAAAAAAAGTTACGAAGAAGGCAAAATTAGATTTGTGAATAACCTTACAAGTATATACATGATTTTTATAATAAAGTATTTCAAATATTTTTAATTTTACTTAAATGTTTTGTTTTGTTTCTTTTTTGTATATACGGTGTGAATGTGTTCATTTATCAATATAATTATTATCCCTGTGACAGAATATTATATGTCTAAATAAATAAAAAAAAGCAAAAAAAAAACTTAAATGTAAAAAAAAATATATTGAAATCTGACGATTTGGTGTAAACTACAGGGTTCTAAATAGTTTCACATGCTTCAAATCCGATCTCCTTCGCTTTGGTTACTAATGACTGGAAGTTTTAAATTAACTGGAGCAATAGAGATTATTGTCTATATTTATTTTAAAAAATGAAGAAACAAATATTCTTATGCAGGCAAATATTGGCAAACACTTTTCATTTATTTTTCTCAAAGTGACGAGGAAAGTAGTGTTACACTAGATATATAAGGTGAAGTGGGAAAAGTGCAACCAGGTTTACTTTTTTCTTTCATTTTTAAACCGTTACTCTGAGGTAACTGTTAGGAATAATATTAGGCTACAATATCCTGCAATTAGAATATTTTTATTATTTTATGTTAATTTAAAACAAAAAATGTCCACTGTTTGCACGTACGCCATACATCCGTGGTATTTTCAACCTCACTTTAGGATCTTCCATAAGAGGCAATAAAAATACACCGTGGGGCAAGTGCATCAGCTTGTTTTTCACTGAAACTGTCATTATTTTTTTCATTTTTTTATCTTAAAACGTTCAGGAGAATCGGATCTTTTCGTGAGTCAACGTTGGTATTATAGAAAACATGGGCAAAACTAAAAAACCGGTCTTTTATTTGACTTCTTGATTATATTTAGCTTTGTCAAGAGATTTTCTATGATTACCTTGCAGTTTGCAATTACCCCAATCTCCTTGGCTGCATTTGCCCCGTATGCAAAAATGAAGGGGCAAAAGTAGCCACAGCACCCTTTTTTTAATTGTTAACCCATTACCAAAATATGGTACATTTCTGAAAACTACACATTCAATTATATAAAAATAAAAAGTTTGGTTATCCTGAGTTGAAAGTAAAAAATATAAAAACTTTCCTTGAGTACGAAAATGTAAGCATTTTTAAAAAGCAACAGATATAAGTTGGATTTTCTCAGACTATTTGGTAGACATTTAAAGAAAATGATCTAAAGTTACAAACAATTGATTTTTATAAAAAATAATAATTTTTTGGATAAAAAACAGGAGTGGTTTTTAACTATACTTGTCCCACGGTCAGACTTACCCCACTTCACTCTATTTTATAACAATCACTCATTTACTAATAGTTTGTAGTGTTCATTGATTCGAATAAAAATTAAAAATACATACTTTTTACTCTACCATTATTGTAAAAAAAAAACAAAAAAAAATTTAATTATTATGGCTCAATTATTTGTTCTATCCCAATACAAAACTTGAAGATGAAGTAATTCCAAAAGCATCCCTATTTAAGTTTCAATGTTTTTTATTAATATTAAGATAATCAAATATTTTCGAGAAAAAAATGTTATACTAATTATTTCTTAATGATTTTATTTTTTAAATTTAATTTTGATATTAAAATTTAGAATAGAAAATATAGCTTTCACATTTCCTAAATATTTGTCACAGGTGATCAAGATTTAATTTGGAATTAAACGACTCAATCAGATGTAAACTCAGTTGCTATGGTTTTTCTTTAAAGATATTATATAATTATAATAATATATATTATAATATATAACATTATATAATTATAGTTGGTGAGCCAAAGTATTTTAATCAATCTGCTTTATAAATTATTTTTCGAAGAATATACTGTTTGTAAGTGTTTTAATTTATACATTTATATCGGGTTAAATACATCGAAATGATAATGGGTTATTTTTTTATTCTTGAATATGCTGATTTTTTTTTTCTCCTGGAATTTACTGAATTTGAAAGCAGTTCTGAAAATCGTCGCAAGGCTCTTCATGATCCAAGGACACGAATTACAGCTCCAATTTCGGGCCCCTTCAAAGAAGAGTTGGATATTGAAACATTGATTGAATTATTAAGAGTTAGGTGCAGTTCTTGGTATTGTAATTTCGGACCGAAGATTCCGAGGTCAAGAATTGTAGGGCGTTACGAATAAGAAAAAGCTATCAGATATTATTCAACACCGCTAGTAAGTATCTGCGAATAACTTATATAATATATTGATCAGTCAAAGAATGAGAAAATAATAAGAAAATTAGTTAATGCAGTGTAATAATTATAATACTTTATTTATTCTGGGACGAGTCTCTTTAGAATACTATAGAACGATAGAAATGTAGGAGCCTCAGAAATACATAAACAAATATGAATAGTAATTAAATAGTCATAATAAAAAAATAAAAAAATAATAAGTAAAAATAATGAAAAACGATCTAATAATTTATATACATATTTATATAAACTCATTTGCTTTCTACTTCGGTCGTATCCTATACCCCTAAAATTTCAAAATAACGAGGTTGTATAGTACAAACGAACAATATTTTTGTATGCTACCTTTTTTATCGATTTTGTGATCAAAATA